GGGCATCTGTTAGTGCCACTGGTCACCTCACTGACCACTCATAGCACCCACCAACATGGACACCCGTCAATGCCAGCGGTCACCTCACGGACCACTCACAGCATGCACCCCTATGGGCACCCATCAGTGCCAGTGGTCACCTCACTGGTCGCTCATAGCACCCATCCCCATGGGCACCTGTCAGTGCCAGTGGTCACTCCACTGACCACTGCTGACCACTCACACATCACCCCCACCCATTGGTACCCATCAGTGCCATTGGTCATTCCACTGACCACTCACAGCACTGACCCCTACAGGAACCTGTGACCACTCTGCTGACCACTCAACCCACCCCTATGGGCACCCATCCATGCCATTGGTCACTCCGCTGACCACTCATAGCACCCATCCCTAAGTGCACCTGTCAGTACCATTGGTCACCTCACTGGTCACTCATAGCACGCACCCCTAAGGGCACCCATCAGTGCCAGTGGTCACCTCACTGACCACTCAGTGTCCACTCCTATGGTCACCCGTCAGTGCCAATGGTCACCCCACTGACCCCCATAGGCACCTGTTAGTGCCAGTGGTCACCTCACTGACCACTCAGTGTCCACTCCTATGGTCACCCGTCAGTGCCAATGGTCACTCCACTGACCACTCACAGCACCCACCCCCATGGCCACCTATCAGTGCCAGTGGTCAATCTGCTGACCACTCAACCCACCCCCTGTCAGTGCCATTGGTCACCCCACTGACCACTCAACCCACCCCTATGGGCACCCATCAGTGCCAGTGGTCACCCCACTGACCCCCATAGGCACCTGTTAGTGCCAGTGGTCACCTCACTGACCACTCAACCCACCCCATGGGCACCCATCAATGCCATTGGTCACCCCACCCCACTGACCCCACCCTGCCCANGGGCACTGCCACTCACCTGGACCTGGACACCTCCAACTCTCACCTGGACACCCCCCTGCCCAGCCACACCCCAGCCCCCGGAGCAGGCTCTGACCACACCAAGCTCATTTTTTCTCATCACTCCTTTCCGCTCACAGCCGTTCCTTGTCCCTCCCTCTCACCCCTCAGGGCTCAGGTGCAGCCCAGGCTGCAGTGCCAGGTGCCCGAGCACAGGCGGGCACGTCCCCCCCGAGGGAGGGCTGGCAGGGCAGGAACAGCCCCTGCTTTATTCCCAAACTGGGCCAGAGCTGCCGGCAGCACAAAGAGCCCTGAGGAGCCTTTGGCTGGAGCTGGGGCCAGGCTGGAGCTAAAATTGGCTCGGTGGGAATTCGCTGGCAGGAGCCAAAGAGCGAGCGGGAAACGCGGAGGGGAGGTCACACCAGGATAGAGGAGGGACCAGCGTGTCCCTGTCCTGTGTCCCCATCCCATGTCCCTGTCCTGTGTCTCCATCCCGTGTGCCTGTCCTGTGTCCCCGTCCTGTGTCCCTGTCCTGTGTCCCTGTCTTGTATCACCATCCCATGTCCCTGTCCTGTGTCCCTGTCTTGTGTCCCCATCCCGTGTGCCTTCCTGTGTCCCTGTCCCGTGTCCCTGTCCTGTGTCCCCATTCTCTGTCCCCATTCTGTGTCCCCATCCCGTGCCCAGCAGTGCAGCAGGTGAGGCTCTCCATGACCCACAGGTGCTGCAGGGCTGGAGATGCTCTGGGGGTTCCCTACAGCCCGAGAGCCTCAGGTCCCCTCAGGGGTGACAGCGCAGCAGCCACAGTGTCACCAGATCTCCAGGCTCGCTGGCCTCGGCTCCACGTGCCACCAAAGCAAGGCCAAGCCAGTCCTTGCCACCCAAAATCCCAGGTGGGCAGCTCCGTGTGGGCACGTGGCACCACACCAGGACACACCCAGAGGTGTCAGCCAGCCCTGCCACTGTCCCCCTGTGTCCCCTCAGTCCGTCAGCACCACCAGCTCGCCGTCGCTCTTGTCCTCGCCCTCCGAGTCCTCGTCCTCGCTGTAGCGGTACATGTCCCCCTCGGGCACCGAGTGCCCATCGTCCCCGGCGTCGCCGTC